AGAGCATGGAGACCGCTGCCGCCGGCTCCGCCGGGCTGGCCGCCGAGGTCCGAGGCAGCGGCACGGTGGACTTCGGGCCGGGGCTGTCGGCCATGGAGGCGGGCGGCGGCGACCCGGGCCCCGAGGCGGAGGACTTCGAGTGCAGCTCGCACTGCTCGGAGCTGTCGTGGCGCCAGAACGAGCAGCGGCGCCAGGGCCTCTTCTGCGACATCACGCTGTGCTTCGGCGGCGCGGGCGGCCGCGAGTTCCGCGCCCACCGCTCCGTGCTGGCGGCCGCCACCGAGTACTTCACGCCGCTGCTCTCCGGCCAGTTCTCGGAGTCGCGCTCGGGCCGCGTGGAGATGCGCAAGTGGAGCTCGGAGCCGGGGCCGGAGCCCGACACGGTGGAGGCGGTGATCGAGTACATGTACACCGGGCGCATCCGCGTCAGCACGGGCAGCGTGCACGAGGTGCTGGAGCTGGCGGACAGGTGCGCGGGGACGCGGGCGCAGGCGGCGGGGGCGATGAGCGCGGTCGGTGTTGCGGATTCTGGGAGGCCGAGGCAGGGATGATCCCGAGTTCTCGTCCAGCCTGGGCGACTTAACTGAACCCCGTATCAAAATACAGGGTTAAACAGGATTACACGCCGGACCTCCCAGCATTGTGGTAGGCTGAGGCAGGGAGAGTGAAAGTTCAACCCCAACCTGGGCAGTTCAGCGAATGAATGAGACCCTGTTTCAAAACTTAGAGAAAGGGCTGGAGGTGTAACTAAGTGGAAGAGCCCCCTGGGTTCAAAAATGACCAGTAGCAAGTGAGGAAAGACCTGTTGGGGAAGTTTGACATTTAAGCTGATGTCTAAAGGGCGAGAAAACTGGCCGTGCAAAGATGGGGGAAGAGATCTGGGCCGCGCAGAGGCCCCCAGGCAGATTCGAGTTTGGCGTAGGAAAGGGAGTTGTAGGAAAAATCCTAGCCAGTCATGGTGGCGCACTCCTGTGGGAGGCAGAGGCAGGAGGATGGAAGGGAGTTCACGGCCCGCACTCACTACAAAGCAAGACTTTATCTCAAAAAAAGAAAAAAAAGGAAAATCCCGTGTGGCCGGATCTGGTGGTTGCAGGGGGGTGTGGAGGGGGCATGGATTTCACTGAGTGTTGCGAAGCTGAGTAGAGACGATCGGACATAAGCAGTGTATCTGGAGGGGTTAGGGTGCTTCTGTGATGGGGAGGGAGGGAGGGACTCCGCGGGGGCCGGCTTGGGTCGGGAAGCTGCGGGGGGGTGGAGGTTTGGGCAGCAGACGCCTTGTGAGCACCTCTGGGGACCCTGCCGGGAACGAGCGCAGAAGTCCCTTCCCTCTTGGCGCTGGCCCTGGTAGGCAGTGAAATAGCGGCCTGTGGGGTGACTGTTAGGATGCAACCAGAGGGCAGGCGCAGAGAGCCCGCTCCTGCAGAGGCGCTGCTGGGCGAATGGAGGATGGATGCCTCGGGAAAAGACGTTTTTGAGAAAGGGAGGCGCGGTAGAGACCAGAGCAGAGCGGAGCCCAAGGGAATTTGGAAGGCCTGGGGAGAAGGTGGGGCTGGATCCTGAGCTGCCGGTGGGAGGGGCGGGGCCGGGTGCAGTTGCAGGTGGGGGAGGGGCTGTGTGGTCGGCGGGAGCTTTAACTTTTCTTTTTTTGTGTCTTTTTTGAGACAGTCTCGCTGTGCAGTTCAGGCGGGCCTTGAGCTCACTTTGTAGCCCAGGCTGGCCTCGAACTTGAGGGCTGAGATTACAGGCGTGGGCCACCATGCCCGGCCCCGGAGCTTTAGCTTTGAATGAGATGCCTGTGTCTTAGGGGCAGGAGGGCAGGGTGTGATGTCGAGAACTGTGAGTTGGAAAAAGGCAGGGACCTCAACACTGGGGAGACCTGGGTGGAGAAGAAAGTAGAGGGGACCAGAAGAGCGCTGTCTGCCTACGGTGCAGGGGTCACATTTATGGGCCTGCGGGCCTGTGAGGGTTTTGACCCAAGCCGCCGGAAAGATGGGGTTGTTAAGACCTGGAAGGAGAGAGGGCGCGCCCGCCCTGCAACCTCAACATCCTCAATTCGATTGCTGGTACCAAAGAAAAGACGTGGAAGATTGCAGAGGAGCGGTTCTGGCAGGGGGCCAGTTTGGATTTGGTCAGGGTGTCTGGACAGGCAGTTGGATAGAAAAACGTGGGGTCCCAGCGTTGGGTTACAGAAAAATCCAGGAAATCATTGGGGAAGCAGTGTAACAAATAGGGGTCTGTGAGCAGGGGCAGCTCATGGAACAACGAGATTAACAATTTTTTGCGGGGAGGGGAGTTTCTTGGAGCGCCAGGTTACTGAGCTGCATCTGCAGGTCTGAAAAACACTTCAGAGACAGGGCCTCACCCAGGCACCCAGGTGATTGAACTCGTGATCCTGCGTCAGCCTCCTCCCACGATGGGACTGCAGGCACACAGCACTGTGATGCTGGCCCTGAACCCAGGGCCTTTGCAGTGAGCTACAGCCTTTTCTTTCTTCCTCTTTTTGTTTGAGACAGGGTCTTGCATGTAGTCCAGGCTGGCCTTGAGCTAGTGGTGATTCTCCCGATGTACCCGACAGTTGCCAAGGTGGGACCTGAACTTTGAATTCTCCCGCCTCAGCCTCCCTTAGTACTGGGATTATAGGTGTGTGCTGAGCCCTCCAGCCACACATACGCTCAAAAACACACTTTTCTTAGCATCCACTTTCTAATTTGGAGAGTTTTGTTTGTTTGTTTTGTTTTTGCTACAGAGATTCGAACTCATGAGCTCTCATTTGCTGGGCAGGCACTTGTGCTGCTGAGCTACATCCCTGGCCCTGGAGGTTTTCTTTTTACACACGTCATGCATAAAGTGCGGTTGGGGTAACTTGGGTTCCTTCAGAATGCAGCATGAAGAGCATCCACGTTTGAAAATTAATCTTTTCAGGGGCCAAGGATACAGCTCAGTGGCACAGCGCCTGCCTGGCAGGTGCAAGGTCCTGAGTTTGATTCCTGGTACCAAAAGAAAGAAACAAAGAAAAGAAAATTAATCTTTCCCTCTTCGCTTTCTCCTAGGTTCCTGTTAATCCGTTTAAAAGAATTCTGTGGTGAGTTTCTCAAGAAGAAGCTGCACCTCTCCAACTGCGTGGCCATCCACAGCCTGGCGCACATGTACACCCTGAGCCAGCTGGCCCTGAAGGCCGCCGACATGATCCGCAGGAACTTCTGCAAGGTCATCCAGGACGAGGAGTTCTATACGCTGCCCTTCCACCTCATCCGGGACTGGCTGTCGGACCTGGAGATCACGGTGGACTCCGAGGAGGTGCTCTTCGAGACTGTGCTCAAGTGGGTGCAGCGCAACGCGGAGGAGCGGGAGCGCTACTTCGAGGAGCTGTTCAAGCTGCTGCGGCTGTCGCAGATGAAGCCCACCTACCTCACTCGGCACGTCAAGCCCGAGCGGCTGGTGGCCAGCAACGAGGTGTGCGTGAAGCTGGTGGCCGAGGCCGTGGAGCGCCACGCGCTGCGGGCCGAGAACCTGCAGACCGGTGCGCTGCATCCTCCGGCGGCGCCCCCGTCCCTGCTGCCGCGCTACGGGCAGAACATGGACGTGATCATGGTCATCGGGGGCGTGTCGGAGGGCGGGGACTACCTGAGCGAGTGCGTGGGCTACTTTGTAGATGAGGACCGGTGGGTGAACCTGCCCCACATCCACAACCACCTGGACGGGCATGCCGTGGCGGTGACCGAGTCCTACGTGTACGTGGCGGGCTCCATGGAGCCGGGCTTCGCCAAGACCGTGGAGCGCTACAACCCCAGCCTGAACACGTGGGAGCACGTGTGCAGCCTCATGACCCGGAAGCACTCCTTCGGGCTCACCGAGGTCAGGGGCAAGCTCTACAGCATCGGCGGCCACGGCAACTTCAGCCCCGGCTTCAAGGACGTGACCGTGTACAACCCCGAGCTGGACAAGTGGCACAACCTGGAGTCTGCACCGAAGATCCTGCGTGACGTCAAGGCGCTGGCCATCGAAGACCGCTTCGTGTACCTGGCGGCGCGCACGCCCGTGGACCGGGACGCGGAGGACGGGCTGAGGGCCGTGATCACCTGCTATGACACCGAGACGCGGCAGTGGCAGGATGTGGACTCGCTGCCGCTCATCGACAACTACTGCTGCTTCCAGATGTCCGTGGCCAACTCCAACTTCTACCAGACCGCGTCGTGCTGCCCTAAGAGCTACGCGATGGAGAACGCGGAGGCCGTGCGCAAGCTCGCCAGCCTGCCGTCGGACGAGATCCTGGAGAGCCTGCCGCCCGAGGTGCTGAGCATCGAGGGCGCCGCCGTGTGCTACCACCGGGACGACGTCTTCATCATCGGGGGCTGGAAGAACAGCGACGACATCGACAAGCAGTACCGCAAGGAGGCCTACCGCTACTGCGCCGAGCGCAAGCGCTGGCTGCTGCTGCCCCCCATGCCCCAGCCCCGCTGCCGCGCCGCCGCCTGCCACGTCCGCATCCCCTACCGCTACCTGCACGGCACGCAGAGGTACCCCATGCCCCAGAACCTCATGTGGCAGAAGGACCGCATCCGGCAGATGCAGGAGATCCACCGGCACGCGCTGAACATGCGCCGGGCGCCCAGCTCCCAGATCGAGTGCTGAGTGTGCCGGCCGCCCGCGCAGCGGCCGCCCGGAGAGGGAAGTGTGCGCTCCCCCCCTTTGCCAGGACCGACCGGCACGCTGCGGAAGGGAAGGGCTGTGTGGTTGGACTGAGGTGTGGGAAGGGTGAGTGCGTGGTGGTTGTTAGCTTGTGACCTTTATCCGTCTTCAGTGTGTGTGTCCGTGTGCGTGCGTGTGTGCGCGTCTGTGTGTGCGTGCACGCGCGCGTATGCCTGTGCGGTAGCCGAGGAAGCTCTTCCTGAGGACCAATGGAACAGGCAGGGCTGGTTACTGGGCTGTTTTCTGCCTTTGAGGTAAACTCCTCTGTCCTAGGACTTAGGTTTGGAACATGCTTTAAGCCCAACTTTATTTGCACTTTTCCTGTGATATCGTTTTCATTTTTACACAACGGTTGGTCTAACAAGATCAGAATTTATGCATTAAGCCCTTCTCTGCAGGAGACGTGTGCAATAGTGAGCCTGACATTCGAAGGAAAAAGCACAATATTTCATCCCGACGATTTCAGAGTGTTGACCCTGACACCACCTAGACGAGCTGTGTGGTCGCTTCCGGAGGAGGTGACTGACCGATGTGAACGGAGTGGTCTGTTACTATGTTAGTAATATTTCCTCGACTTTGAGCAGCTGATTATACACTTCTCGCCGTGCCTCCGAGTGGCGGTAGCTGGCCAGAAGGGCGGGCTGCGGTGAGGAGGTTCCCCGTGGGAATCTGTTTCGCTGAGAGGAGGCCAGTTGGGAGCGTGGGCGGTCAGAAGTGCGCCCCTGGGAGAGGAGCCGCAGGGTTCAGGACGCTCCTGAGCGAGCCGCTGACGACAGTCACCTCCATGCCGTCTGGCCTCCTCCTTCCTCTAGCATGTACTGTATGCAATTGTTTCTTTTTTCAGAATGGGAAGTAACAGTTTAGAAAAATGTTGCTTAGGAAGACCCTTTTTTTCTGGCCCTTACTGTTACAATATTTTACGCAGGTGCCCAGAGTTTTCCTGGAACTTGGAAGAGCCTAGAATGCCAAAGCTAGGTGCCTGGCTCTGGCTCTTAAAAGATTTATCACTGCAGTTGTTACTTAATTTTGTGAGTTCTCCTAATTCCAGTACACTGGCCAGCTCTGCGTATTGAGTTGCCACGCCTGTAATCCCAGCGCTCAGGAGGCCAGGGCAGAGGCAGGATCCCCAGGGTTCAGGGCCCCGCCGGGCCAGGTAGCGAGGCCTTGTCTCTAAACCAGACCAGCAGAACAAACCAAGTGAAGACTTGGTGAGCCTGACCGCGCTCTGTAAACACAAGAGCTGCTGTGTGGCCTGGGTGTGTTCTGATTTTTGTAAGCAGCGTCTGCATCCTTTTAGACATTCTGGAATAGCACTATAGAAGTCAGAGTCCAGTGCAGCGATGTTTTCTTCCCAAGTCGCCATGCTGAACCACAGTAATTGTGTGGTCAAACATCAAGAGAAAGAAAAGCACAACCGGAAGTTTGGACTGTCCTCCACCTCAAGACTGGTCATATTTTAGCTCTCAGGTTTGACCCAGAGAACGTTCCTAAAACTTCCTCCCGTCCCAGCGTAAGACAAGGGCTTTAAATGAATGTGTCAGTTAAGACTGAGGGGGCATGTCTGAGTGTATATATCCCCCCCCTGCCCCGTTTCCATTTCTTGGAAGTTTCTTAGTAAAAGCTGTGTGGTTCCCTGCTGCACGGCGGCTCCACAGTGCGGAGTGAGGGCAGAGCCCCACGACTGCACTCCTGCCAGTCCTGCACATCCTGGGGGCGGTGGTCGAGCTGCAGTGGGTCTGCAGGAGGGGCTGGGCTTGGGCTTTGGTCGCAGAGCTTCGTCCTCCGTGGGGTCACCCTTCTCTCACGTGAGGTGGCAGGACACAGGACTCGGGCGTCCGTGTGCTGACACTTGTTTCTGCCCGGCAGGCGGCCTCGGCCCGGCGGGAGCAGGGTAAGTCCATCCTTGCATGGCGGTGTGTGCAGGCGTGCAGCACCGAGTGTCTGGTCTGTGTGCTCCAGCCCCCGTGTGACTGCACTCCAGTAGCTCTAATTCTGGGAGAGCCTAACTAACTTGTTAACGCGGAAGGAAACCAGAGTGACTAAATCTGCTCTAGGCTGACATTCTAATAGCGTAGAGGGTTTAGAGTGGTTCTAATTGTGATAATCAGGCCTGAAATGGCCTTCGGGAGAAATTTCCTTTCCAGAAGGAAAGGAAAAAACTCTGTTGGGTAATTTAAGTAGTAAAAACACAGCTTGCTTAGTGTGGTGATGCATGCCCGTAATCTCAGCACTTGGGAGGCTGAGGCAGGAGGATCACCTTGAGTTTGAAGCCAGCCTGGACTGCACAGTGAGACTCCTCTCTCAAAAAAAAAAGGCCGAGGATGTAGCTCAGTGGCACAGCACCTGCCTGGCAAGTGCATGGTCATGAGTTTGATTCCCAGTACCCCCCCACCAAAAAAACCCAGCTTAACGTCTATGCAAGTAAACCCTTGTTTTGTTTTGTTTTCTTTTGGTAGAGAGGGTGGGAACTGACTGAACCAAAAAGCAGTGGCGGCGGGACTTGTGGGAAGGCTGCTTCTGTCCTAGGGGCGTCCCCGCCCTCCCGCAGTGGGAGGGTGTCAGTCCTGAGTCAGTGTCTGGGCCGCAGCCTCACCTGCAGTGTCTGCATGCATCTTGATAACCAACCGCGCTCTGCTGGGCCAACTCAAAAATAACTGCTAGGAGCTCCTGAAACGGAGGAGCATTTGGCCCGGGTCACCTGGTTCTGTGTTTCTGGGACCAAAACCCCTGAATGGCGCTGGCTTTTTCAGTGTAGACCGGGGGTTTACAGCTGCAGGCAGCAGCCACGCCCCGACTCCCCGCCAGCTGGTGTGGGGCCTGCTTCTCTCCTGTTGGAGCTGTCTCGGAATGCGCAGGTGGGCCCTGTGCAGAGCGGCCTGTGTCTTAGTCCCCTCAGTTACAGCTGTAGGACCTCTCCCCACTGCTTCCCTCCAGTGAGGCTTAGCTCCCGCCCCGCCCTGACTTTGAATAAACACCCTGTCTAGGCTAGAAAAACAGGCTGCTTGGGCTGCAGCGAATCTGGCAGCCCGCGTCTGTCTCCCGGCCAGCCGGGAAGCTCAGCCCAGCTTGCCCCGCTGGTGGCTGCTTTCTTGAGAAAAGTCCACTTCGCTGCTGCTCTCCTGACGCTTCCGTGCTGTGACCTGTGTTCTGGTGTGTGGACAAAGCAGCTGCTGGTTACTACGCCCACAGTGCCCGCCAGGTAGCGAGCAGATCCCCGCTGTGCTGCCAGCCCCTTCGGGCTGCGGCTGGAGCCCGCCCTCCTCCTCCTGCTCCCTGCTAGGCCTTGTTACTTGTGCACTCCAGCTGGCGGCCGCAGGGGCCGCTGGTGCCCGGGCCCCCTGCCAGGCCTGCCCTGCAGTTCCTTCGCGGCCGCGTGGAGTGGTAGCCTGCGTGTGTCCCCGAAGCTGCCCCGCCCGTGTGACAGCCACTCCTTGTCTCCGTGTCGGTTTTCAATAAACGCCTTGTGGAGAGCCGCTCTGCCTCACGGTTCCTCATTCTGCGGCGTGGCGTCGCCTCCCGGCCGCCTCCGTGCGCCCTGCCCCCGGCCGAGCATTTTCCAGCACTCCTCCAAGCTTCAACACTGCGTTTATTTAAAACAAGAGTTAGCCCGCGTCGCTCAGCACTTTATTAGCCACAGAGGCTCACACAGGCAGGGTGCTGGTCGAGGCCGAGTACTTCACCTCGTCCCGCGGGGCCAGGCCCGGGAAGTGGTCGCGGCGCGCCGCGTACTCGCCCACGTTGGCCAGCCCCGGCACCACGCAGCAGCTCAGCGCGCTGCGGTAGATGCTCATGTCGTGCGCGTCGTACCACTCGTCCGTCTTCTCGTCGTAGCACTCCACGTTGAAGGTGGTGGTGAAGCCGTTGAAGCCGCCCACCACGAACAGGAGGTCGTCCACCACCTCGATGCCGAAGTTGCTGCGCGGGTTGAACATGGTGGGGATGGTGCGCCACGTGTTCGCCACCGGGCTGTAGGCCTCCGCGCTGCGCAGCCGGTTGGCGCCGTCGAAGCCGCCCACCTGCGGGGCCAAGAGCGGCGGTGACCGCGA